GAGAGGAGGAGATGAGAAGGGGAGAGGGTAGAAAAAAGTAATGGTGATGATAGTAGTAGGGAAGCAGCAACAGTAGCAATGCCTATTGGGGTTCTGTCACTACAGAGTAATGCTAAGCTCTATAAAACAAGTGTGTCGTTGCACGCCACACCAATGTTCTCGGCGCCCTTTCAGACTAAAATCCGGTCTATGTCCACAGGTTAGCGATGGGTGTGAAGTCATCATGATCAAGAAGACGTTCCTGCTCAAGCACCTGCGCAGAACTTGGTAGAGAAGAGCACTTGTGGTCTGGCACTTTCAGAACGGACTGTCACTGCACACTTACAATGTGGCCATTTGTGAAAGAGTGAATGCTGTTTTCTCTGACTTTTTCCATCTTTGAACAGTTAGTAGTTTCATGTCGATACTTGTCCTAACATTATTTAGAACTGAATGACAGTAAAAAGGGATACTTAGCAGCACATCTCAAATGTAGGGCCAGCCTCAGATGAATAAAGCCTCAGACGTCATGAGCGCCCGTGCCGAGAACTTCAAACATTTATAACCAGCCAGCAGACTAGCCTCGCAAGCGAACAATCAATCAACCAGCCCGTCAACCAGTGAACTAACCAAACATAGAAGAATAACCAAGCATAGAAGGCACTCGAGTCCAGCTCTGCATCACACACCAAATAAATTCTCCATGATTTTGGGTTCGTCTTGATGCCATGATCGGTCCCCTCTGGTTTTGGAGTGGTACGATCATATCCCGAGCTTGACCCTACGTCCTCATTAATTCCCCTGGGTTCTGTACACACCTGCTATCGAATCTCCTGTCATTCATGTCTAATGTTCTTTTGCATCGGTGACCGGGAGGCCCATTGGCTCGCTGGTAGACCACTTCGTCGCTTGTCCTTTAGTATTTGGGTCTGTCTCCTGTGATCGCATCAACAATGCACGAGTCCTCTTTAGGGCTAGGCTAAGCCATTGTTTAACCTAGTCACAATTATAACCCAATGCTGCCCTTTTCGGGAATGCTGGTTGAACATGACCACCCCCCCCCACCCCCTTCCTTCTCAAAAACGGATGGATGGATGGATGAATGGATGGATGTTATTTTGCAGTGATGTTTCTTTTTTGGTGAATGTGGCGTCCTTCCATTTTCATAAGCCAACTTCAACATCTGATGGTATCATAACCAGGACAGCTATTTTTGTTTGATTTGTAATGGTTGTCTGTTTACTTCCAAGAACTTGTTTCTTTCTATTGATCATGTCTGTCATCATCATCATGTGCCATGCGTGTGAGCGTAGGCTAGTGCTTGTGAGCGTAGGCAGTCATTTTTCGTCAATCTATACGATCAGTAGAATCACGGATCATCTATGTGCTCTTGTCTTGCTCCAGTCAAGTGGTTAGGCTAATCGGGTATTTATCTGTTTGTATTTCTCTTTCTCTTTTTCACCAGTCTTGCCACTTGTCATCGAGTTTTGTTTTCCTTCTCACGACACGACCCCAAAATAATCAGCTACTTCCTAATACAAGGTTGGTTGAAATTGGATGTGCTGGGTAGAAAGGCGCTAATATCGCAGGCTAGCTGTAAACTTCAACTTAACTTGTAAAATTTTCTTTTAAGCGCGAGCACATAAGAAAAAGACTGCTATGTGACCTGGTGTATGATCTAATCTCGAATGGGAGGACGACATCAAGATAGTGAACAGCCGAGGCTAAAACACAGAGGCAGATGAAAATCCTCTGTTAGCAATGTTGATTGTGGTCATGGCAGCTGATTGATTCAACCATGATATATTTTCTATTGTTCTGTTAAATTACAGCGAATGTTTCAACATCGGGGGGTCTTCATTTTTAGTTCGTTGATATATATATAGTTGATTGGTTCGTTGGCTAGTTAATGATTGGTTCGTTGGCTGGTTGATTGGTTAGTTGATATATTTGGTTGACTGGTTCGTTGATTGACTGATATATTAGATTGACTGCTTCGTTGGTTGGTTGATATATTTGGTTGACTGGTTCGTTGATTGTTTGATATATTTGATTGATTGATTCGTTGATTGGTTGATATATTTGATTGATTAGTTCGTTGATTATTTGATATATTTGATTGATTGGTTCGTTGTTTAAAAAATTTGATTGATTGGTTTATTTGCTGGTTGATATATTTGATTGATTGATTGATTCGCTGATTGTTTGATATATTTGATTGACTGGTTCGTTGATTGTTTGATATATTTGACTGATTTGTTCGCTGATTGGTTGATATATTTGGTTGATTTGTTTGTTAATTGTTTGATATGTTTGGTCGATTGGTTCGTTAGTTGGTTGATAAATTTAATTAATTGGTTCGTTGGCTGGGTGATATATTTGGTTGATTGATTCGTTGATAGTTTGATATATTTAATTGATTGGTTCGTTGGTTGGTTGATATATTTGAGGTGACTGAGAATGGTGCAGGTACACATCACACAATGTCTGAGAATGGTGCTGGTACACATCACACGATGTCTGAGAATGGTGCTGGTACACATCACACAATGTCTGAGAATGGTGCTGGTACACATCACACAATGTCTGAGAATGGTGCCGGTATCCATCACACAATGTCTGAGAATGGTGCTGGTACACATCACACAATGTCTGAGAATGGTGCTGGTACACATCACACAATATCAGAGAATGGTGCCGGTACACATCACACAATGAGAATGGTGCCGGTACACATCACACAATGAGAATGGTGCCGGTACACATCACACAATGTCTGAGAATGGTGCAGGTACACACCATACAGCGTCAGAGAATGGTGCCGGTACACATCACACAGTCTCAGAGAATGGTGCCGGTACACATCACACAGCGTCAGAGAATGGTGCCGGTACACATCACACAATGTCTGAGAATGGTGCTGGTTCACATCACACAATGTCTGAGAATGGTGCCGGTACGCATCACACAATGTCTGAGAATGGTGCCGGTACACATCACACAATGTCTGTGGTGCCGGTACACATCACACAATGTCTGAGAATGGTGCTGGTACACATTACACACCGTCAGAGAATGGTGCTGTTATACATCACACAATGTCTAGAATTTAGCGTGTGCATCCGTTTTACAGATCTGACTCATTTGTGTGCAGAATGCTGGTTCCTTGCCTCTCAGGCAGATGCAATCTGACTTCGAAGGAAGCTCCTAATTAGTCGACTCCTACGGCATGCTTTTGGGTAGGCAGTGGGTCTGTCTTTCCTATAATAGGGCCCCTGAACCCACACGGGGAGGACAAGATGATGTTTATTAACCAATTGTCCTCGGTGTTTAGATCTTTTAGTATGTCGGTATATTTCTGTTACCCCTTTTCCGCAGAATTCTGAGAATATTTTTATAGAATTTTAGCTCTGAAGTCCTTTTTTTCTTCCTCCGTTAACTGCGAGATAGTCCATCGCTCACCATCGTATGTTGCTACAGAGAAGATGCATGCTCTCAAATTTTGACTTTGATTTCAACGCTGGTGCTTAACCAACGCTTTCTGCAGATTAACTGGAGAAGGTGTAGGCTTTACCATAGACTTCTACTTGGACAGAAAAGTTGGAGGGAGATGACCATGAGGTAGACATCGTCTACGTGTGAGAGAGACGTCCATCAAAAAATGCACGAACATCAAGAGAGGTACAAACATCAGTCTGAAAGTCTACAACCAGAACGAGAGACACATGTTTTCAAGATCCATTACAGCTAACCTTCAAACGGTACTTTGATGAATAGAATGGTGCCCCATGGGGGTCCGGTCGATGCTCAACACTCAGACGAAATGCAAGTTGGGCACACAAGGAGGCTGCTATTGTTGCCAGCGTAATAAGATGGGGACTGAGCGCCTACGGGAATGTCCCGAGTCTATTGATGCAGGGTGTTAGCTCAACTGATAGTGGAGTCAGCACTTTCTGGATTGAATATGAATTCATGAAATAAAATATTAACTTCACTGCACTCGTGCCATTCCCATAAGTGCCCTATCCCTACTCCTCAGCAGCCAACGAAGAGTTATCCTATTGGTGGTGTCAGCTGCACCCTCATTAAATATAACACCAATGAACTGTCCGTTCAACACAACACATCACACCAATGAACTGTACGTACAACATATTAAAAGAATGTTTTTCCCCGGCGGGAAATCTCTACACTCTTGACTCACTCCCATGTGAATCATTCTCTCCAAATATCTATGCTATTTTCTGTTGCAGGTTGATCCCACAGAAGCTTCACACTCGCCTGTGAATCTGAGGATCGTGGGTTCCAGTGATTTTATTTTTCAAACATGACCTCGGCTGTAAGGTCAACCAGCCCTAAATATAAAGCAGGTCAGGTCTTGGGAAATAAAGACGGTGATCACCCATCGAGGTAAATACAAATCTGAGTCTAGCCTGATGTGCCACTGTAAAGAGACCTTTTTAACTTTACTTACAGAACCTTCAAAACGTCCACTTTATCATATAGTAGCTCACCGGCCAATGGAGCTGCAACAGCTAACTGATCAGACTGCTTGTTATCACGCACACCCGATCTCGGGCCCTGAGTTTACGATATGCTTCTTACACGAGTCTAATCAAGGGATGGTAATGGTCTGATTTTCCCAAACAAGTGAAAGTGGTGTGGTTCTGGCCCCGAACTCAAAAAGAAAGTCAACAAAAAGCGGGAGAGAAGACCTGCACTGGTCCCTGACTCAGCCCCATGCCCATATTTGGTGTCATTCTTGGCCAGCCGGTGCACATCAGGGGAACCTACTCCCGCCTACCACCATCAGACGTGGATCTATTTGTAAGCAATATTATTTGATTTTCCAATTTTTGGTTTATCCAGTTCGAACTCGATCGTGTGTCTCCTTGTTTTATTATATATATATGTTTGTTTAATTCGTGATATCGTAGTTTGAAGTGACGTAATTAATCTACTGCTGTTCATTTTCAGTGTTTTGCCGCCAGGGATTACTGTTCTAACTTCCCGAATCGAAAATGGCGTCGTCTGGAGTGAAAGTTGACGAGGAGACAGTCAATACTTACAAGGCGATGAAGCTGCGGAAAGTCAATTACAGATATGTGATGATGGGGATTGAAGCCGACGGTTTCATTAAAGTTGTGCTTGCCAAAGAGAGGAATGTCAATCAGTCCCAGGAGGAGGAGTTCAATGATTTTTTACAATCTCTGCCTCAAGACATTGGTCGGTACTGCATTATTGATTTGACCATTCCGCAGAAGAACGGAGCTCAGAAAGACATCATGTTTTTGATTACATGGTAAGATTTGTTGATGATTCAGTGAACGTTGATACACTTAACTAACAATCCATTTTGTCTATCTATATATTGAACAGTGAGCAGAAGACATCAGTAGTCAAAACGAGGAATTTTGTCTTTTACATAGCGACTACGGTGTCCGGAAATTTGTGATCTTTTGGCAATTTCCGTTACCATGGAAACCGTTCGAAACTTGCTTCGAAAATGTCGGCTGGGGTTTCGGAATGGGTCCTAATCTCTCATGAAATTTTGCGATTGGTGTGATTTTCACCCACTCTAAATAGCTGAAAACGTCGGGAAGGAACCTGATTAACAGCGCATGTCTACGACAGCCGGACGTCCTCTGTTTTTCTGTTACATCCGTTTGATTGAAAATAGCGTTAAGGATTCAAAGTTGGCTTTAGGCCTTAAACATTACCAGATATGGTAATGCTAGTTATAATTGAATTCTCCGTCCAATTTTACATTTGTGAATAACATTTCTTTCTTGTCCGTGGCTGTTTAGATTTACAGTGACATTTTTCATGCAATCGCTATTATGTGGCTGTGTCTCATTCGTCATTGGCTGCCATCTTGTCCAATGACAGTCCAATGTCAACAAAGCCAAAACGAAAGTTGCGCAGTTTGGTGGTTGCGCAGAGAAAACCTCTTGTTCTGGGAGGCAAGTTTTAGCATCTGCTTTCTACATCTCATCTCCACAAAAACCTACATATCTCAGCTCAGAAATGACATACAAGCCTAAATGAGGTACCGTTGGAAAGAGATTGTTTACAGCTATCTAACTGTGCTGGTTTTATTGGTGTAGAGGGCATTTTAAAGATTTGACTAAAGTACCAATTTTATAGTAGCGCTGAAAAAATGTGCAGGCACTCACCACAAAAAACCTTAACTCTTTGAGTCCTAGGAGGTTTAGCATCAGAGGCCCAAGGAGTAGTCAAAAGAGATGTAAAATCTGCGCATCTTGCGTTCATTGGGCCTCTAGGCGGGGCGTATGAACATATGATGCGTTCCTTGGGACTCAAGAGAGTTAAAATACACGGCTCTACTGGCAAATCCGGACGCAGAATAAACAGACTTGGACGACTTAGTCAGAGTTATCTCCCGTCGCCGCACTCCGAACAGTAATCGGAAAACAAACGAAACAAACGACACACTTACCTATCATCCTGCGGTTGCGTGTAGGGCTGCGTACGGTTGCGTGAGACATCGTGGCATCATCATATGGTTGCGTGCACAGTTGCGTACGGTTGCGTGAGGCACTGTGAATGGTTGTGTAGGCATCATCATGCGGTTGTTGGATTAGAGTTAGGGGTAGGGTTAGGGGTAGGGTTAGGGGTAGGGTTAGGGTTAGGGGTAGGGTTAGGGTTAGATGTGAAAATTTTGACGTAGGATTTCGAAATACTGGCCGACAAAATGATGTTTGTGGGAGTGGCGCCACTGAAACTCTGCCAAATATGACGCCAATAGCGTGCGGCTGGTGGCCCCAATCGTTGGCGAATTGTGCGTGTGACCAGCATCCAGAGGCCCTCGATTGTTTGTGTGTTTGTATGGGACTGTGCGCGATTATAGGGAACTCCGGCGTCAAAATTGTCAAATCTAACGCTAATCCTAACCCTACCGCTAACCCTAATCCTAATCCTACTCCCTAACCCTAACCCCTACCCCCCTAACCACGCAAATTTATCGATCATTAAAGCATACAAATCGGCAAACACGAACAAACAAAACACACCCAAAAAAACAACACCCAGAATTGTCCTGCAGCGTCGAAAAAAAAACCCCAGATCTGGGGGAAACAACCAAGCATTGGCAGCCCTGATGTCGACGTGACTGTCTTCTTTGTTTCGTTGTGGCTTTTCCGATCACTGTTTGGAGTGCGGCGACGGGAGAGAACTCTGACTAAGTCGTCCAAGGCTGTTTATTCTTCGTCCGGATTTGCCAGTAGAGCCAAATACACCAGTACTCACCCCAAAGTATCTATTACAGTAGCACAGTAAAGAGTTGGTACTGTACACTGTTGCCTACCACCCGAGGGAGTAAAGCCTGGCCAAGACACATTTCACACTTTGTTAGACAATTCTTGGCTCTAATTTGGGAGACCCACATTTCTAAGAATCCCTGGTATGGTGAGGTGATGGCAGTTTGTCTGGGGGGGGGGGGGGCAAAAACAAAAAAAAACCTAAACTACAGTCTAGAATGAAGACAAACAGCCACACACCACACAACAAAGTGCAGTCAAGGCTACAGTAACAGTCTGTCATAATTTTCTAGTTAAAAATGAATGTTGAACTGTGCCGGATGGAGCTCATAAAAATTAATCTGATGACCAGTTACATCACACAAGTGGCTTCTGTTAATGTTTTTCAGTTCAGTGTGATTCAAACAGCAGTAGATGGGACAGAGAGGGAAAGAATCTTAATTTCAGCTAACTTGCAAAGTTAGGACATTGCTCCACCTGCTTATACCATAAGTGTGATTGTCAGGGACTGTTGCTGAAACATTGTCAGGGCTGAATGTTTCCTGGACTTCTGTCATTTAGACTCCATGGGCTGTAGGTCTTCAGCCAGCTCATATCCTGTTGTCCTAACCCTCAAAACTGTGTGCAGTGCATCCCTCATTACTCTCCCCCCCCCATCACCTCTTGTACACTGCAGTCACTTTTCTCTGTTTTATGCTTTTTCATCTCTCGTGATCTCTTTGGAGGACTGGTGAAACATTGCCTAATAATAAAAATGGTTAAACTGACATCTTTGCTATACAAGTGTCTGTAGTGTCAGTTTAGGCTTACTAGCCACTCCAGAATGATACTGCAGAGTGTCATGGCCAGGCCTGAGTCATAACAGACAGTAAGTCCATTGTATCTCAAATTGATATACAACTGATCAGATCATCAACAGCAACCAGTGGTCCTGTGACACACTGTGTTACTATGTGGACTGTGGTGGTGATGACGATGACGAAAATCTGTAAATTTTACAGTCAGATCTTTAAAGAAAACATAAAGTAAGCTATACAATTAATATATAAAATATAGAATTACATGATCAGAAGAAAAAACTACTTTTCTGACAAAATAATCATGTGTCTTGTCAATTGGTGATGGTGATCATGTGTCTCCACAAACATATTTGCTCATAGATCTTGATAAGCTTGTCTTGCCTGTCATCGTGCCAACTCATCTATCTTGTTCTTCCTTGACTTTGACACCTCTGATCTCCCTGGTTGTCATAGCATACTGCAGAAAATATCTATTGTTGTCAGAACATGAAAAATACCTGCCGGGTTGAACAGCATTTGAATGTAGGCAACCGTCAGTCCCTGACAACCACGGAGCTGTGCTGTTGGTTTTGAGAACAGAATCTGCTATGACTGTTAAGTCCAGTGTGGGAGTGACAGTCTCTGTCATATAGTCTAGATAAAAACATTCATACTTTATTATACTGAGGCTGGTTTTCTCCAGAAGTCTACCCTTTATAGCCTGTTGCATTGCGCCATATATATATGTATATATTGATAATACAAAAATGAAGGTTTATGAGTCTTGTGTCCTGAGCACATTACTGTACGGTTGCGAATCCTGGACTCTCTATGCTCCACAGGAAAAAAGACTGAATACCTTCCATATGCGCTGTCTGAGACGCATCCTTGGTATATTGTGGCGAGACCTTGTCTCCAACGAATGTGTGCTCACAAGAGCAAAAATACCATCAATGTATTGTATACTGAAGCAAAGACGTCTGCGCTGGCTGGGACATGTCTCCCGCATGGAGGATGGTCGTATTCCAAAAGATCTCCTATATGGTGAATTGGTAACTGGGAATAGACCTACAGGAGGGCCAAAGCTGCGCTATAAAGATGTATGTAAACGTCACCTAATAGATACCAACATAGGCACAGAGACATGGGAAAAATCAGCTGCAGATCGACTACTATGGAGACAGAAAGTAAAAGATGGACTGTCACATTTTGAAAGAAACCGAACACAACGAGCTGTGGAGAAGAGGCACCGGAGAGTAAAACTGCCTCACAACGAGGGAGTATCTGCTTTTGTGTGTATCCTGTGTGGCAAAGACTGCCATTCCTGCATTGGACTTTACAGTCACAGCAGATGCTGTTCCAAAAGCCAGCGGCACATCTCCATAGTCCCCCGGGACTGACGGATGCCATTATATATATATATATATATATGCAAAAGTGCCTCTTTCACTGTCTGTCTCATTCATTCATTCAGTAGCATGTCCCTCGCGGAACCTCGCTGCCAACCCTCCGGAAAACCTTCCTATCCTGAGCAAGATGTCCTGCGTCTGATACACCCATCTGGAGATCATCTGCCACATCCTGCACCCATCTTCTCCTTGGCCTTCCTCTTCCTCTCTTCCCAGGCATATACCCCTCCATTATTGTTCTCTCTAGACTTCCATGACGTTTCAAGTGACCAAAATATTTCAATTTTCTTTGTTTTATTGTCTTTACTAGCCAACCCTCTTCAATATTAAGCTCTTGAAGTATGGATGCATTTGTTCTTTTCTTTACCCAAGATATTCTTAGAACCTGTCTGTAACATTTATATTCAAATGCATTTATGCGCTGTTCCGCTTGTTTAGTAAGTGTCCAGGTCTCACAGGCGTATGTTGCAATGGGAAAAATGCATGCTCTTAAAAATCTGACCTTTGTAATTCTATCTGTACAATTCCATAATTTATTCAGTTGTTTTAGTCTTTGAAGAGCAATTGATAGTCGCCGTTTAATTTCTTTCATTCTGTCACCATTGTTGGTAACCAGTGACCCAAGATATTCGAAATTTTGTCTGTCTACAGCTGGATTTTTTCCCCCAATGTCTGTATCAGTGTTGGTATCTTTCAGGACGTGTTTGCACATGTGCTTATAGCATAGCTTGACCTTCCTGCAGATCTTTCCCTTGTTTCCAGTTCGTTGTATAGGAGATCCTTCAAAACAGGGCTGTCCTCCATGCCAAAGACATGTCCCAGCCAGCACAGGTATCTTTGCTTCAGCAGAAACTACATTGTTGGCATTTCTACTCTTCTGAGCACACATTTGTTGTGGCCATTTGATCGGAACAGTTGACGAACAAAAAGGAACAATGTTTATTCAGTGATGAAAATGGGGTAAACTCTCCTGGTTTTACCAGCTTTCACCTGTTCTCAGTTTGAATTATTTAGTAATTCACATCACTGTACTGGTGATCTTCCTACATGTGCTCCATCCCCTCCCTACATGTGCTCCATGTCCTCCCTACATGTGTTCCATTCCCTCCCTACATGTGCTCCATGCCCTCCCTACATGTGCTCCATCCCCTCTCTACATGTGCTCCATCCCCTCCCTACATGTGCTCCATGCCCTCTCTACATGTGCTCCATCCCCTCCCTACATGTGCTCCATCCCCTCCCTACATGTGTTCCATTCCCTCCCTACATGTGCTCCATGCCCTCTCTACATGTGCTCCATCCCCTCCCTACATGTGCTCCATGCCCTCTCTACATGTGCTCCATCCCCTCCCTACATTTGCTCCATCCCCTCCTTACATGTGCTCCATGCCCTCTCTACATGTGCTCCATCCCCTCCCTACATGTGCTCCATCCCCTCCCTACATGTGCTCCATCCCATCCTTACATGTGCTCCATCCCCTCCTTACATGTGCTCCATCCCCTCCTTACATGTGCTCCATTCCCTCTCTACATGTGCTCCATCCCATCCTTACATGTGCTCCATGCCCTCTCTACATGTGCTCCACCCCCTCCCTACATGTGCTCCATCCCCTCCTTACATGTGCTCCATCCCCTCCCTACATTTGCTCCATCCCCTCCTTACATGTGCTCCATGCCCTCTCTACATGTGCTCCATCCCCTCCCTACATGTGCTCCATTCCCTCCCTACATGTGCTCCATCCCATCCTTACATGTGCTCCATCCCCTCCTTACATGTGCTCCATCCCCTCCTTACATGTGCTCCATTCCCTCTCTACATGTGCTCCATCCCATCCTTACATGTGCTCCATCCCCTCCTTACATGTGCTCCATCCCCTCTCTACATGTGCTCCATCCCCTCCTTACATGTGCTCCATCCCCTCCTTACATGTGCTCCATGCCCACTCTACATGTGCTCCATCCCCTCTTCGGTCGCCAACTGTGAGGCATCAGGCTGCTGTTGTCAATTATAACTTAATATTTTAAGTAGATCAGTACCAGTCAGCTCTTCACGAGTTTGTTGTTTCCTACTGCCATGAGTTAGCTTTTCCTAGACCTGGCTAATCAGGCACTTGTTAACTGGAACTGCTTGTCATGTAGCTGTGTTATTTGACTCTGCCCATACCAGATAACTCACAATTTGTGTCTTGGTCATTCCAGAGATAACATGATATTCTTGCTGTTCTCTGCCACAGGCGCTCAGTGGCTGTAAACTCCGACAGAAAGTTCTGGTTTTTCCTCTGTTTCTGGACTTTAGTCTTATTTCAGATCTGTTCGTTCCTTGCCAAGTAGGCAGATGCACTCTGATCTAGAAGGAAGCTCCCCTAATTAGTTATCTAATACCACATGATTGCTAGGCGAGCAGTTTGTCTATTGCCCCCCCCCCCAAGCGGGGCCTCGAGAAATATATAAGACCTGCATCACCTCTTCTTCTTCCTTTGTTCACTTGACATGAGTTGTCTGTATCGGCAATTTTATCTGTCATGTACATATCACTGTCATGTTTAGTTCATTCACTGGTCCATAGAGTTAACGTTCCACTGTTGTTCTTTCTGGCCAAAAGGTTTGCATTGATGTGTCATATTTTGTGCAGAACTGAAGTACAGGTTCTTCTATCTGAGGCAGCTTTCCACATTGCCTCTATATTAAATTGTGTATACATATGGTTGCATAATCAGTTGTGCCCTGTTCTGAGGCACATAACCTCATTGTGAGAGTTTACGCTTACACAACACATCCAGGTAACTTCAGTCTGAGAGTTTATGCTTACACAACACATCCAGGTAACTTCAGTCTAAGAGTTTTTTTTCATAGAACATAAAAAACATCTAAATAGAAATAGATAGTGCATGTGGGCAGGCTGTGTCCAAATCTATACCCCGGTACAAATGTAGAAAGCACATTTTCCAGTCTAAAATGTCTGTGATCCCAGGTTGTGTATTTTTTTCTTTTCCCAGGTGCCCCAGTGGTGCCCCTACCAAGTCACATATCATGTACACAACCTCCAAGAAAGCCTTGACAGACAAAATCCGCGAGGGCATGACCGAAATCCAGGCCAACGACCTCTCAGATCTGGTATACAGTGAGTTTCTAGAGCGAGGCTGCAAATAAATTCAAGACTAGTCGGCTGCCGGAGGGAAGGAAGCCATATCTGTGACCTGTCTTCTCTGTAAGGACTTGCGTGAACATTTGCTGTTGGATCAGTGCCATCTCCTAGACTCATGTGTATATATATATCATCTGTCAGTGTGTATCATTTCAGTTTAGACAACACCACCGCTAATTTAGTTATATGTATTGGGCTTTTTGTTTTTGCTAGCTAGTGCTGTACTGCAGGTCGACAATTATGTTTATTCTGTGTGTGGCTCTTGGTTTTGTAACAAAGCAGTTGTGTCTGTGGATGTATTTCCGCTTGAACCAGTCATTGTGGGTTTATATCATGCTCACAATGGTCTAGTCTGACAGCCTACAGTGATGACAATGTTTTTCGTTGAGAGGCAGGTTTAATTAGATCACTTCAGTTTGATCAATGTACAGAAATGTGTTGAATTTTCATACTTGTTTGTGTACGCAGGATTGTTAAATAATATACTTGGCTCTGAAGACATACAAAACTGTGAAGGTGAAAGCAGTTGATAATCCCACCTTGTAGTGCCATCACTTGTTACTGACTATCACTGTCAGTCCTGTCAATGTAATTTACTTAAGTCACTGTTGAAACTTATATTTAAGATTGTGATTTTAGGCTGATTTAACAAATTTAGTTTCAGATTGTTCCATCAAAGTCTGTCATGACATTTTTACTGCCAGAAACATCTGATATTTGAAATTAATATGGTAGATTTCTGCGACTTCCGTGTTCAGATACAAAGATCTACATCAGAGGTATTCAGCTGACGGCCTGCAGAGCCCTAGCAAGTGACCTGTGGATCACCTGCCAGTTGCATTGTATTAATAATCTTTCTATGCTGGGGCTCAAACCTCAGGCCCCCAAAGCCCTAGCAAGTGGCCCGCGGATCACCTGCCAGTTGCATTGTATGAATTATCTTTCTATGCTGGGGCTCAAACCTAAGGCCCCCAGAGCCCTAGCAAGTGGCCCGCGGATCACCTGCCAGTTGCATTGTATGAATTATCTTTCTATGCTGGGGCTCAAACCTAAGGCCCCCAGAGCCCTAGCAAGTGGCCCGCGGATCACCTGCCAGTTGCATTGTATTAATAATCTTTCTATGCTGGGGCTCGAACCTCTGGCCCGCAGTAATCCCCATTTTTAGCATTTTGGACCTTAACTAAACTGACTTGAATTGCTCTGCTCTACCTGCTGTCAACAATTCTGTGTCTGTTCAACAGCCTATAGTGTAAAATATAGGTAACAATCTTGTGACATGCCTTTATTTGGGAAGACATATTTGCATTTAACAGTGGTTCCCACACTTGTGTTCAGTGAACCACATTTTCACGTCAGATATTTTCTGGTGCCGTCACAAATGTTTCAGCTGATAAAAATGGTTCTTACCAGCATACTTTACAGTCTTAGAATCTTTAGCTTAAATGTTGTGTACCAAGCTTCACAATGCTGCTATACTATAGTATTATGTCAGCTTTGGCAACTTGGTAGACGACTGCTTTGCTGCATTGATTTTAATAATTATATAAACATTGTACTGCACAGAAAGCAATAGCAAACTGCTGAAACCAAAGTTTTACAGAGAAAGCCTACTAGAGTACATAATTACTGAAGTTGGTTTGTGATATCTTGTTGGATTGTCATCCATGTTGTGGTTGTTTAAGTCACAAAGGTGACGCCAAGATTCATGTGGCAGCCTGAAGGTGACAAACATTCAGTCAGTACATATGAACATGTGTCTGGCTGTGTAGCCTTGGTTGTCCGGCACTTTTAGTGACATTTGATAATACTGCTCTTTACAGAATACTAATAGTGGTTCAGGAAAAGACAGTTGTCTTGACTTCGATTGGGTTGCCAGAAAGTCGCCGGTTAAAAATAAAAATAAAAAAGCAAACCATGGTCTGGGCAAATGAAGCTGAAATGTTGTCTCTAGTCGCCCAGCTGCCATCTGCAACAGCAGTTTCGCAACAATTAATGCCAATATTATATGATGTATACTGAAGCACAGCACAGGGCTACTTCTAGATGCATGCTTGCTCACTACCACACCCATACGCTTATTTTTTAATTTATTTATTTGCTGAACATGCATGTCAGTTTCTTTTGTATCATATTTTCCTGCATTTTGTCTTTTTGGTTTCTCACAGCAGTTCTCTTTCTGGTCACACCCAATTCCGCACCTGCGGTGCCTTAGTGCCAAACAGTTTTCTTGTAAACAGCATTCGCATGACTTGTCTGTTGTTCTGTTTTTGTTTGCCCTCAGTGGCAGCTGTTTTTTTTTTTTTTTAAACCAAATCTCTTGAGTATTTTAGTATTATAAATGGACATTCCTTGTCTTCTCTGTTTTATAATTTTCTTCTCACTGTAATGTCCCTGTGTAAATAAGTACAACTACAGGAGATGCGCTCATTTTGTGCAGATATGTATTGGATATGTCAAGTGTTGGCAAGTGGGAGCCATGGTAGTCCAGTCAGTAGAGGGTTCTAGGTTCAAATCTGCAGCAGATATTTCAAATGAACCTGAACTTCTGGGCCGATCCAGTGAGCTGCAGAAAATGTTATGGGAAATAAAGGGTGCCAAAAATCAGTCTAGCTGTATATGTCCACAACACGTGATGGCGAGGTCTCTATAGCCTGACCTCCTTGTTGAAAAAAACATCATCCTGACACGACTTTGCGCTAAAGAACTGACAAACAGCCAGAAGGAGAAGAGATTGCTCTCACAGATTGACCCACAAACTTATGCAAACACAGCCAACACTGTTCTGGCAAATGAAATAGACTGACAGTTGTATTGAAGGCATTTACTTATACTGGACCCCGACTGACTTTACATGCATTTCATGCAAGCAGTTGTTTGATTCTTTGAAGTGTCTTTATTTCTATAGATCTGCCGATTGTATATACATAAATATTAAGTCAGTTTTTTGTTTTTTTTACATTTGTGTGTGTTTTGTTGATGTTTGCCATTTTTTATGTTTAAGACCATCTAGCGTGTCTTTGTTGATGTTTGCCATTTTTTATGTTTAAGACCATCTAGCGTGTCTTTGTTGATGTTTGCCATTTTTTATGTTTAAGACCATCTAGCGTGTCTTTGTTGATGATGTGATTCAATCTGGAACATTCAACACCGGCTGGAACACTTTAGTGGGATAATGAGCATTTCTAGCAGTAGGACCTGTTGACTCAGTCCCAGCAGATTTCTGTAGCAGACGTCCAAGCTGACCAAGGAAGCCAGATTTTCTTCTGCTCTGACCAAATGTAAAAAGTCACAGAACACATGATGCAGAAGAAGAAAATTCACTAAGCATGTGTTCAAATCCTTATTGAGTCACAGTTTAAAAAAAAACTAGGCTTGGTCTCTAAGGGTAAAAGTGCCTAAATGTACTAGCATCTGTTCAGAGGAATAATAGCAGACGACATGGTAATGCTGACTGGGGGTTTCATAGGTGGGTCACCACCATATGACTGGTAACCTTGGAGTTAGGGGTGTTTTATTTGATTATAAAACAGGAGCTGTTGTTGGGTCAGGTTTCATGTGGCAGCACTGCTAGTTGTGACCAGGTAGACCTGACTTCTACTCACCCAGATGTAAGTTCAGTCCCAGACTGTGGCAGCACTGCTGGTTGTGACCTGATAGACCGGACTTCCACTAACATAAGGGTCTGAGTTCAGTCCCAGACTGTGGTAGCACTGCTAGTTGTGACCAGGTAGACCTGACTTCTACTCACCCAGATGTAAGTTCAGTCCCAGACTGTGGCAGCACTGCTGGTTGTGACCAGACAGACCTGACTTCCACTCAACCAGGGGTCTGAGTTCAGTCCCAGACTGTGGTAGCACTGCTAGTTGTGACCAGACAGACCTGACTTCCACTCACCCAGGGGTCTGAGTTCAGTCCCAGACTGTGGTAGCACTGCTGGTTGTGACCAGATAGACCTGACTTCCACTAACACAAGGGTCTGAGTTCAGTCCCAGACTGTGGCAGCACTGCTAGTTGTGACCAGATAGACCTGACTTCCACTCACCCAGGGGTCTGAGTTCAGTCTCAGACTGTGGTAGCACTGCTGGTTGTGACCAGACAGACCTGACTTTCACTCACCCAGGGGACTGAGTTCAGTCTCAGACTGTGGTAGCACTGCTGGTTGACCTGACTTCCACCCATGTGAGTATTAGATGCATAGACTGAGGAAGGCCACTGTTGACCTCACCTGGTTATGCTGTGTCCTAGAATGAATGAGGCAATAAAATATCACAGTATCTGGCTACTTAGGCTTTTAAAAACTAGAATGAATCAGAGACCCACCAGCACAGTCTTGTTTAGAGAAATCCTCCCAAAAATGTATGTGAATGTATCAGAGACCCACCAGTACAATCGTGTTTAGAGAAATCCTCCCAAAATGTATGTGGATTTTGACAATAAACAGACACAACAGTGGTCAGTGCTGGCTGAGTCAAGTGTCCACTAAGACAGCATGTGTACAGTGCTAAACTTTGTAAATATTCTCGTACAGATATTCAGTTTTTATCCATGGAGACTTTAGTGGTCCTCAAGTTACTTACATTACTGTGTATTCTTAATCAGACAAATCAAACTGCCATTTTTATTGGCTGCTAAACAGAATCTGCTATTTGGAAAATTGAAAAACATTTATGTTGTATTCTTGTCAACTGGTCTTTTTTCAGTCAAGACACCTAACTATGAGGTCTAATTGCGACTGTATGAGTTTGGTTAGCACTTTCACTCATAAAGAACATAAGAATGTTACAGTGTTTAGTGTGAGTGTTTTATCTGTGTGTTTGTGTATACTTTTATAGCTTTTCATGTTAGCTACATCAGGCTGCATGCCAGCTGTCTTGACATGTCAGTGTCATGCTGGCTGTCTTAACATGTCAGTGTCATGCTGGCTATCTTGACATTTTAGTGTCATGCTGGCTGTCTTGGTGTGTCAGTGTCATGCTGGCTATCTTGACATTTTAGTGTCATGCTG